AGACAGGTTGCTCATTGAAGCAGCATTGCTGGAGCCTAGGTGAGTATAGTTCCACTTTAACTGAACCGGCTGAAGATAAAAGCTGATTAGTTACTATACACAGCTGCTCCAGTTGTAGTAAATCCTCCCACTGTATCCTTTTTTCTTCTAGAAGAAGTCTGTGATTAAAAAAAGTCTGTAAAATAATAATAAATAAAGACAAAATAACTCTATCAGGGCTTGGGCTAGGTTAGTATTAGTTGCCGTGTTATTATCATCAGTACTAGTGTTAGTGTAAGTGTATTTAGGTAGGATTAAAAAAAGAAGGTTTTTATACTCATTTTTGTTTAGATTTAGTGCCACCGTCAATGCCAGTAATCGTTAGTGTATTTTAGGTGGAATAAAATAAAACAAACTGAAGTGTGCATGATTGTTTTTGGGCCCTAACACTGGTGCAAACAAAAAACAAAGCACACATGTGGTAATAAAAATTAAATAGAATAGTGTTGCGCTACTCGAACAGTATAATAATAATAAATAAATAAACAGTGCCCAAGTGTAAAAAAAGTCTTTCAGTGCTCAATCAGCCCAAAGGCAATACACTCTTGTGCTTCCAATGATAGTGCTGCACCGCAAAATGAATTCAGTGCCCTTCCACCTGAAATAGGATAACCGCTCACCACAAATAATGGACCTATGTATGAACATAGGTCTAACAAGCATGGTCATTCCATAAACGGACTCCAGATGGCAGCAAAGATCTTGTACTATACATTAACAAGGATGGTTCTAAACGATCACCCACAAGAACCTCCTCCCCACTCAGCCTCAGCATATAGGAAGAGAGAACTGCCTCCAATAGTGTAAAACCATTTAATAAGAATGAATTGTGAAAAAGAAAGTTTGCACTGACAATGTATCAGAATAAATTCACGTCATCAGCATACCACAATGAAAACTCTGAACTTCCGGTTCCCAGGTCCGTAACCGGAAGTGGTGTCACTAAGCTCCACCCCACGTGTTACGCCAATAACCCACATGGCTTCGTCAGGGAGAGTGCGCCCAGTGATGCTCATCCAATATAAACACATAGGTAACTATACCATAGCTCTATACAGTCCAAGCATACTGTTTCACAGATAAAATTCAATAACATACACATTTAAAATAATATATTAACTTTACTACATAAATATGATCTAAAATAAAAATATACATATAATATATAAAAAATGACCAATATATAAATCAGGTAATGACCCCATCTAGTGGCGAAAAAGTAAATTACACTTCTATTAAATAATAATTAGCTAAACCTCTTCTGAGATAAATAATAACCAAAATATATTTAGTAAATTAAGATATTATGATAATAATAATACTATTTAAAATATATTAAAATTATAAAATCTATAGTTATATATAAGAGGGAGGCAATTTTTTTTTCACTAATAAAACAATTAATGTCAAATTCAACGTTATGGCCCAGTGGATATAAAGTCTGCAACTCATATATCCAGTAGAATTCATGCTGACTCAGGGACCGAATTCTGTTACTACCCCTCCAATATGGATGGTATTTCTCTATTCCCCAGAATTTTAAACAAGATGGATCCCTATTATGAACCGTAGCAAAATGCCTAGATATACTATGATTTTTAAAACCTTTGGATATATTTTGGACATGTTCCCAGATTCTCTTCCAGAGGGGCCTTTTAGTTTGTCCAATATACTGAATACCACAACTACATTCCAATGCATACGCTACCATTCAGTTTTACACATAATAAAATCATTAATCTGATATTGCTTCCCATTAGTTGTTGCTAAAAAACTGGCTCATTTATGAGTAAGCCCCTTTGTTCTTTAACAACTAAAACACCTTTTACATGGAAATAACTCCTTCCCAGTGAAAAAAGAAAATTCACTTTTCTTTGGGGGATTCACCACATTCTTTGATACATGATTTTGTAATCTCACAGCTCTCCGATAAATAAACTTCAATTAACTGGTAAAATCTTTGATAAATGTTTATCAGCCAAAAGTATCGACCAATAGTTATTAAAAATCTTCTCAATCTTTTTATGTTGCGCATACCATAATCCAAAATTATTGGGCAATCATCTCTTTGTTCAATTCTTCCAGGATTATCCCTAATTACCGTATTTTTCGCCGTATAAGACGCACCTGACCATAAGACGCACCTAGGTTTTAGAGGCAGAAAACAGGAAAAAAAAAATTCTAATGGAGTGCAGACACAGTACAGGAGATGACCAGAGACTGCGGACATCACAGGGATGACCAGAGACTGCGGACAGCACAGGGATGACCAGAGACTGCGGACAGCACAGGGATGACCAGAGACTGCGGACAGCACAGGGATGACCAGAGACTGCGGACAGCACAGGGATGACCAGAGACTGCGGACAGTACAGATGACTGCTGACCTTTGGGGAGGTGGGGAGCGGGTACCTGAATTTGACAGGTACCCGCTCTTACTTCCGCAGAGTTTTTGTTTGATCTTACCTGTTCCTCGATCCAGCCGCGCGCTGTCTTCCCGGCTTCTGTAATGGCACTCGGCATGACAGCCGGGTGCCCAGTGCGCATGAGCGAGAAGCACTTGCGCTTTGTGATTGGTCCGGCGGCTTCTGGGATCTGTCATGTGTCCCAGGTACCGCCTTACCATTCACAAAAAGCACCGCTTCTTGCGCATGCGCACTGGGCACCCGGCTGCCATGCCCAGTGCCCACACTACAGAAGCCGGGAAGACAGCACGCCGCTGGATAGAGGAACAGGTAAGGTCCCGCTGCAGAGCTGAGCGGCCGGCCCGGTATTCTGACACGGCCGCAGTGGAAATACCGGACCGGCCGCTCCATATTCGCCTTATAAGACACACTGATATTTCCCCCCCAGTTTTGGGGAACAAAAAGTGCGTCTTATACGGCGAAAAATACGGTAGATCTTCTGTATGTAACTGCTCCAACTCATGTATTTTCTCTTGTATAAAGGACTCATCATAGCCTTTTTCAATAAACTTCTGGCCTATCATCTTAGCTTGATCTTGATAATCATCCTTGTTGGTACAATTTCTCCTCAATCGAACAAATTGTCCTTTGGGAACATTCATAAGCCAGGAAGCATGATGACAACTACTCAGGGGAATGTATTCATAACGATCTACTGTCTTGAAATAGTTCTTCATCTGTATGTGATCTCGTTCCACCATAATTTCCAGATCCAAAAAATTTAATTTTTAACATTCATCTCCCAGGAAAAAACAATTTTTTTTTCATTCATATTCGAACATTCAAGAAATGGTAGTAATGTATCTTTATCACCTTTCCATACCATAATAACATCATCTATTAATCTTTTGTACATCTTCAACGTACCAGGCTTATCCATGTAAATAGCTTCTCTCTCCCATTTTGTCATAAATAAATTAGCTATACTAGGTGCAAACGGGCACCCATAGCAATTACTCTAATCTGTTTAAAATAAGTGTTCTCATATCAGAAATAGTTATGGGTAAGGTAATATTCAAGACAATCGATCAAAACCTTTCGCTGGGTATAAGAAAGAGTACTAAATTCCTTTAAGGCCCACTTAACAGCTTTCCCTGCATCATGATGACCAATGATCGAATATAAAGAATTTACATCTGCTGTAACTAACATTAACGGACAACTTCCAATCTCAACAGTATCCAATAACTGGATAAGATGTTTTGTAGCACTGAAATACTTTTTTTTTACACTTGGGCACTGTTTATTTATTTATTTTTCATTATTGTATTGTACAAGTAGAGCAACACTATTCTATTTAATTTTAATTTTATGGAGTGTGGGATCACTTATAAGTGCTTTTGCAGCAACTCATTTTACACTATATTTTTTTGTGGTAGCGCACATTGTTCTTTATAATTATCACAAATGTGGTATTGCCATAAATATCAGGAGCAGAACCTATTTTGGGTTATTCTTTGGTAGTAGGGTCAGGGGCACGGCAAGAAATGTACAGCTAAAATTAAAAAAAATGTATATTTTACTATTTTTGGCCAGTTTTCTTTTCATACATAAAAGTCAGGGGATATACATTAACATCGAGGGCTCAATGTACACTGAAAAAAAAACAAGGTATAATTTAACTGAATGCACTAAGCCAGCCTTTCTTAACCAGAGTTCCTCCAGATGTCACTAGGGGTTCCCCCAGAGGTCACGAAGGGTTGTTTGAACAGTGTCCAATTCCTGCCTCTCAGATATATAACCAATGCCACCAGAGATCTTTGTAGCTTACTGTAAGGAGAGCATTCTTCCCAAAGACCACTATGCTAATGCACCTTGAGCTGTAGATATAGCAATTTTTGGCAGGGGTTCCCTGAGACCTGAAGGTTATTTCAAGGGCTCCTCCATGTTAAAAAGGTTGAGAAAGGCTGCACTAAGCAGTGGCAAAGATATGTACAGTTTTACTAACATATGCCAAAGTTACAAAACCTGCATTTAGATGTAAAGATTTGTTTTGACCTTTATCAATTAGGAGTTATTGGTTCCTTTAGGGAGTGCTTATAAATAACTTACTTATGATCCATTTTTCCATTGTCTCAACAGATAAACATTCACAGGGCATCTAAAAAAGACATAGCAATGTAGAGTAGATGAGTATTGTATGTTTGAGATTTATCATAAATATCAAAATAAACCTAAAATTCAAATTGTATATATCATATACATGTTTACATTAACATTTGTATAACAAAATGTTAACGTGATTTTACTTTTGGCAAAAGTTGAGCCATGTATGGCAGCATTTTATTTTCAAACCTCTCTGGTTGCTTTTATGACCATCCTGACATCTGTTACCTCTAATTCTATAGCCCCCTTTCTACTCCTTATTTTTACTACCCTATTTTTTAACTCTGCGCCAAAAAGTTATGCACTAAATTTTAAATCTAAACCCACTAACTGCACAGTGCTGCACAACATATTGGTGCTTCATTAAAAAAGAAAACTTCTCAGTCTTACCGTATCTGAGGTGGAGGGAGAAATCATAGCGGCGGGATTGCTAAGGAAACTTAAGAGCTGGCTGCCTCTCCATTGATCTGCGGATTGTGATTTCCGACAGAAGAGAAAGTGCATGGACTTCAAAGCATCTGTCACACTCTAAAATGCAATTAAACAAACACAATGGTCAACTGAACTGAGCCTGAAATATTTTACAACATTTGGAATTATGTAATAATTTATAAACAATTGAACTCTGAAGTTTTTAAAACATTGAATCCTGTCATAATTCATTAAAACTAACCAAATGTATTTTTACACACAGCTCAGTACTTCTATCTGTCTTGATATAAGCCTCTTATAATTCATATCACTAGAGCTGTAAGTGGAAAGCCAGTTACAGGAGCCAATCAGATTACTGCATTGCACAGTGCTATTCATCTTACATTGATAGTAGGAGAGAGCAGAGTTATAACAACATCAGTGTACTGCTGATACTTCACTGTCCAATCATAGATTGGGACAGGTCACGGATCCTGTATTGCCAAACTGCAGAGAGGAAAAAGGGAGGCAGGATCTGGAAGTAATGTCTAGAACGGGTGCCTGTTTCACAGCATGGATGAATAATATACTGCTTGGATGACTGTAATACATGGAAAAAAACTGTATGCTCATATGAACAGGGCCTTGGCTCACTGGCTTGGTAGTAGTAGACCAACAGAGTGCCATAAAATGTGAATGCTGCAGAGCAAAAGCCACATCAACCTCCGAGAATTTCTGGTAAAAAAAAAATCCTTACTGATGTGGCACCAGAACTCACCAAGGCAATACAGTTCTGATACCCATGCATTGCAGAGCACCACAAAGCACAGTAATGCACTACACTATGTTGTGGTGTGCTGCATTAGAAAAAACGTTGCATTTTTCCTTTTTTTTTTTTTGTCCATTCAAAGTGCACTCACACAGAATCTACTTCAAACCATAGAGGAAAAAATGGGTTACAAAGAAATGAGGGGTTTTAATATATGACAAAGCGACATAAACAGACAATAAATAAAGACCAAGCTGTGTTTTTAACTTTGGCGTGTTTGTGTAGCCTGGAAATTTGCTTTGCAGAGACACACATGAAACAACACAACACAAAAGAAGCTGCTGGAGTCAGTTGGTATCCTTTTTACACCTCCACTCCAAACAAATGCTGGCTTATTTTCTGTGTACATATACCAAAATCAAATGTTATTTGTTTGTATCTTTTTACCTACAAAAGTACCTATTTATTTCCTATACTTTTCAAATCTGGCCTAAAGATCTAAAGATGGCTATACATGGAGTTCATGATGAACCAGCCTATATCTGCTCATTGGATGGTCCTGTTGGCCTCCTCCTGCCTGACATCCTTCAACTGAAAAATTGAAGAAGTCGGGCAGAAAATTGTTTGTCAAATAGCATTTGCATCCAATCAGATGCAGGCACTGTTTAGGTATTTAGATAGAGATTTAGCCAGCTATCTGTCAAAGACAATGGTTACAGCAGGTGATTCATTTGTCCATGCTGTGTAATGTGGCATGAGGAATCTGTTGGACCTGTCCCATTCAGTCTGCAGAAAAAAAATCTATGTGTATGACCAGCTTAAGACTTTGCTAAAACTGCATTGGATGTAAAAGAGCATCCAATCTAGATTTGCAGCTTAGCTCAACTTTTCAACCAGCAGTGTGGAGGGTGGGACAGGGTTTTCTAAAAGAAACTCTAGAAAATAATAGGTAGCCATGGTCTACATGCTGCAGCCAGTTTTCAGCTCATGGTGCCTTACCAGACTATCCCCTTCATCTATGTTGTGCAAGGGCCTATCTGGTTGGATAAAAAATGGTTGAATAGGTAGTTAAGTCCTTGTATTACAATTTAGTTAATCTAGGAAAGATTGGAAATTCTACAAAAAAATATATTAAATGGTTGGGGGAATGCGTTTTGTGCACCAGCACGTTATCAAAGGGTAACGTGCTGGTGCATGAAACGCGCTAGGGAGGAGCCAGGGTGGTGACGTCACGCCGCACAGGCCACGTGTTAGGCCGGTGGCCATCTTAAATGCTGTTTGACCACAATGTGAGTGCTTTGAATTTTTGCATCTACTTCTGCTTGGCAACCAACCATTAATAAAATACTACAGTATTAGCAATTTCTGTTTGGGCTCGTTTGATTGCAAGCCCCCCCCCCTTCAAGGTGGATTCTTGTTCTGCTCTGCATCTGCCATTGTGAGTGGTCCCCCTAGTGGTTAGATACGATACCTGTTACCTGGAGAGTGATCCCCCTGGTGGATGGCTGAGTGATTCCTGATCCATGGAGATTGATGACCATATGATAACATGTCTTTCGGTCGGTTGGCCAGTTGACCCTTGGATACTCATCTTTCCATACCCAGGGGACCAGGAGTGGTTTAAGTACTCAAATGCACATAATATTGCGCTATCTGGTTAGTGCAATATACACTTATTTATACATCGCTGGAGTCACGTTTCCTTCACCCCCTATAAAGTTTGGGACTTATGTGCTTATATATATTACTGCATTACTAAGTTCAACACTTGCACAGTTAACGTCCACAGCCATTCATTGCACTTGAATTACTTTAGCGCTGTTTAGCGCAACTTTATTTGCTTATGTTACATGTGTCATTCTTTTAGCGCTGCATACATTTATTAGAATACATACTACAACAGGTAACATATAAACCAAAGTTAAACAAACAGTAGAGAAATTTGATGATTTAGAGCAGTTTTTGTCCAATTAAAATGTCCTTCTTTTTAAATATGAAGTATAGTGTATACTGTATATACACTGCTCAAAAAAATTAAAGGAACACATTTTTATCAAAGTATAGCATCAAGTCAAGTAAACTCCTGGGATATTGATCTGGTCAGTTAAGTAGCAGAGGGGGTTGTTAATCAGTTTCAGCTGCTTTGGTATTTATTAAATTAACAACAGGTGCACTAGATAGGCAACAATGAGACGGCCCCCCAAAACAGGAATGCTTTTATACAGTAGGTGGAAGCCACTGACATTTTTTCCCTAGTCATCTATTCTGACTGTTTTTCACTAGTTTTACATTTGGCTAGGGTCAATGTCACTACTGGTAGCATGAGGCGATACCTGCACCTTACAGCGGTTGCACAGGAAATCCAACTCCTCCAGGATGACACATCAATATGTGCCATTGCCAGAAGGTTTTCTGTGTCTCCCAGCACAGTCTCAAGAACATGGAGGAGATTCCAGGAGACAGGCAGTTACTCTAGGAGAGCTGGACAGGGCCGTAGGTCCTTAACCTATCAGCAGGACCGGTATCTGCTCCATTGTGCAAGGTGGAACAGGATGAGCACTGCCAGAGCCCTACAAAATGACCTCCAGCAGGTCACTGGTGTGAATGTCTCTGAAACAATCAGAAACAGACACTGCCCAGCACCATAGAGCTCGATCGGCATTTGCCATTGAACACCAGAATTGGTAGGCCCACCACTGGCACCCTGTGCTTTTTACAGATGACAGCAAGTTCACCCTGAGCACATGTGACAGACGTGAAAGGGTCTGGAGAAGCCATGGAGAATGTTATGCTGCCTGTAACATCGTTCAGCATGACTGTTTTGATGATGGATCAGTGATAGTCTGGGGAGGCATATCCATGGAAGGATGCGCAGACCTCTACAGGCTAGACAATGGCACACTGACTGCCATTAGGTATTGGGATGAAATCTTTGGACTCATTGTCAGACCCTACGATGGTGTAGTGGGTCCTGGGTTCCTCATGGTGCACAACAATGTCCGGCCTCATGTGGCGAGAGTATGCAGGCAGTTCCTGGAGGATGAAGGAATTAATACCATTGAATGGTCCCCACGCTTGCCTGACCTAAATCCAATAGAACACCTCTGGGATATCATGTTTCGGTCCATCCAACGCCACCAGGTTGCACCTCAGACTGTCCAGGAGTTCAATCATGCCCTTGTCCAGATCTCAGAGGAAATACCCCAGGGCACATACATCGTCTCATTAGGAACATGTCCCGACGTTGTCAGGCATGCATACCAGCACGTGGGGGCCATACAAACTACTGAGTACTGACTTGCTGCAATGAAACTTCATTAAAATGGACTAGTCTGCTGAATCATCTTTTCACTTTGATTTTCAGGGTGTCTTTGAATTCAGTCCTCTGTAGGTTGATAATTTTCATTTCCATCAAACAATGGGGCATCCTTATGTTCCTAACACATTACCCAGTCCTTATAAGTATAGATATCCAGCATATTTTTCCCCATTGAGATATACATATATATACAGTGCTCAGTATAAGAAGTACACCCCAACAGATTTGTCAGAAAACCTTAACTTTCCTTTCAGAATCAACATTTTCTATGGGACACTATACTACAAAATACACCCACAAATGCGGGCCATTGATTGCAAACAAGATTTCTTCATTTGCACACAGAAAAAAATATTTTTCCTAACAAATTCATTCAAGACCATGTTGTAAAATGAATACACCCCAATGAAAGTCTTAGAAGCAAAGCTAAATTTTAGAAAACAAAATCCAAATTAACAAGAATTTAACTACAGGTGAGTCTAATTATTCATTAAACAGGTGTCCAGCAGACAGTTGATTATAAGTCCCCAGTCATACTGGAATGCGAATTGGCATGCAATTTACATGCCATGCGACTTGCAAATTGCATGCCAAGTCGCACCCTATTGTCCGCAATTACAGCGGTCATATCGGTTCCAACTTGGTCGCAGCCGCACTGATTTCTAAAGTAGTACTTTTGGTGCGATCTGTATAGATATCTGTGTCAGATGTCTTGCAAATCGCACCTGAAATCAGCATGTCATCCGACTTTGAAATTGTGTGACTTCACTGTAAGTCGCACAATTTCATAGTCGGGTTTGGTGTGACCGGGGTGTAGAAGGTCATAACTTAACAAAGAAAACCCCTTACCATTTCATGCTGTCAGCAATGGCACCACATGGAAGAAAAATGTCACAAGGCCTGAGAAAGAAAATAATTTCTTTACACAAGAAAGGTGAAGGCTGGAAGATCAGCAAAGCTTCACTTATCAGTCAGAACACTGTATCAAAAGACATGATATCCCAGAGGTGTTCTACTGAATTTCGGTCAGGCAAGCGTGGGGCCCATTCAATGGTATCAATTCCTTTATCCTCCAGGAACTGCCTGCATACTCCAGCCACATGAGTTTGGGCATTGTCATGTACCAGGAGGAATCCAGAACCCCTGCACCAGTGAAGGGTCTCACAATGGGTCCAAGGATTTCATCCTGATACCTAATGGCAGTCGGGATGCCATTGTCTAGCCTGTAGAGGTCTGTGCATCCCTCCATGGACATGCCTCCCAAGGCCATCATTGACCCACTGCCTGAACGATATTACAGGCAGCATAATGTTCTCCACGGCATCTCCAGACCCTTTCACATCTGTCACAAGTGCTCAGGGTGAAACTGCTGTCATCTGTGAAAAGCACAGCGCACCAGTGGTGGACCTGCCAATTCTGGTGTTCAATGGCAAATTCCAATCGAGCTCATTGGCGCTTAGCAGTGAGCACAGGGCCCACCAAAGGACATCGGGCCCTCAGGCCACCTTCATTAAGTCTGTTTCTCATTGTTTGGTCAGAGACATTCACATCAGTTGCTTGCTGGAGGTCACTTTATAGGGCTCTGGCAGTGCTCATTCTGTTTCTCCTTGCACATTGGAGCAGATACCGGTCCTGATGGGTTAAGGACCTTCTACGGCCCTGTCCAGCTCTACTAGAGTAACTGCATGTCTCCTAGAATCTCCTCCATGCTCTTGAGTCTGTGCTGGGAGAAACAGAAAACCTTCTGGCAATGACACGTATTGATGTGCCATCCTGGAGGAGTTGGACTGCCTGTGCAACCTGGGGATCATCATGCTACCAGTAGTGACACTGACCCTAGCCAAATGCAAAACTAGTAAAAAAAGATGAGTAGGGAAAAATATGTCAGTGGCCTCTGTAGCAATCGTACGTACAAATATGGACGCGAACATCCATTTTGCTAAAGATCCTCTATCTTGTGTCATTCTCACTCCAAATCAGTCCCCCCCTCCCCTTTTTGTTGAATGGCATGTGGTCTGGTGTGGCTGAGTTCAAGAGTGCACAGGGCACATCTGGATACACTTCATAGTTGTAAACCCAATTAGCTGATGCCATGGTGTCTGTCCGACTCTTGCTCTGAGCTGCTCGTAAAGCTATAACCCTCCCAGTCACTGGACTTGAAAGCATTCCGGAATAGCAGTAAAACATACATCTCATTTGGAAACCAGTTTTTCATACAATCTCATAACTTCTTGTAGGAAATACATACAATAAAACAAAACATATATTCAGACAGGTCAGTTTAATGCGAGTCACCTGATACCTTACATCCCTAGATTACGTCTACCCGATTACGAGAGCAGAAAGCAACATCTCCTTAACCGGCCCAAGCAAATATGTCATATTTGGTGTTTGGACGTTCAGAATATCATTCTGCATATTATCCTACTAGTGGATAGGATGCTACTTGTACCTATGGAAGGTTATTGACCATAATATAAACTGCGAGGGATTTGGTCATAGCCTGAGTTCCCCGCCTAAGCACCCCTCCCCAAATGAGGCGATTGGTTCTCTGCTTTAAGGAGACATCCTGATGGGTTCCTAGAAAAAGGCTGTTATGCCTGGGGAAGGATGATGAAGAGATCTCCCTTTTAACATCAGGAACCAACTTTGGGAGCAACGGTACCCTTTTGTTCAGGACACTTGAACGCTGCTTAAACCAGGACTTCTACAAGTATTCTACCGTCTTAAACTTCTTTATTTATCTCGCTGCTGTGTTATTGCTCTCTGTATTTATATATATATATACAGTGGGGCAAAAAAGTATTTAGTCAGCCTCCAATTGTGCAAGTTCTCCCAGTTAAAAAGATGAGAGAGGCCTGTAACTGGCATCATAGGTAGACCGCAACTATGAGAGACAAAATGAGAAAAAAAATCCAGACAATCACATTGGCTGATTTGAAAAGAATATATTTGCAAATTATGGTGGAAAATAAGTATTTGGTCACCTACAAACAAGCAAGATTTCTGACTCTCATAGACCTGTACCTTCTTCTTTAAGAGGCTCCTCTGTCCTGCACTCATTACCTGTATCAATGGCATCTGTTTGAACTTGTTATCAGTATAAAAGACACCTGTCCACAACCTCAAACAGTCACACTCCAAACTCCACTATGTTGAAGACCAAAGAGCTGTCGAAGGACACCAGAAACAAAATTGTAGACCTGCACCAGGCTGGGAAGACTGAATCTGCAATAGGCAAGCAGCTTGAAGTGAACAAATCAACTGTGGGAGCAATAATTAGAAAATGGAAGACATTCAAGACCACTGATAATCTCCCTCGATCTGGGGCTCCACGCAAGATCTCACCCCGTGGGGTAAAAATGACCACAAGAACAGTGAGCAAAAATCCCAGGACCACATGGGGGGACCTAGTGAATGACCTGCAGAGAGCTGGACAAACGTAATAAAGGCTACCATCAGTAACACACTACGCCGCCAGGGACTCAGATCCTGCAGTGCCAGACGTGTCCCCCTGCTTAAGCCAGTACATGTCCGGGCCCGTCTGAAGTTTGCTAGAGAGCATTTGGATGATCCAGAAGAGGATTGGGAAAATGTCATATGGTCAGATGAAACCAAAATAGAACTGTTTGGTAGAAACACAACTCGTCGTGTTTGAAGGAGAGAGAATGCTGAGTTGCATCCAAAGAACACCATACCTACTGTGAAGCATGGGGATGGCAACATCATGCTTTGGGGCTGTTTCTCCACAAAGGGACAAGGACGACTGATTCATGTACAGGACAGAATGAATGGGACCATGTATCGTGAGATTTTGAGTGCAAACCTCCTTCCATCAGCAAGGGCATTGAAGATGAAACATGGCTGGGTCTTCCAACATAACAATGATCCCAAACTTACCGCCCGGGCAACGAAGGAGTGGCTTCGTAAGAAGCATTTCAAGGTCCTGGAGTGGCCTAGCCAGTCTCCAGATCTTAACCCCATAGAAAACCTTTGGAGGGAGTTGAAAGTTCGGGGGAGTGACAGCCCCAAAACATCACTGATCTAGAGGAGATCTGCATGGAGGAATGGGCCAACATATCAGCAACAGTGTGTGCCAACCTTGTGAAGACTTACAGGAAACGTTTGACCTCTGTCATTGCCAACAAAGGATATATACCAAAGTATTGAGATGAACTTTTGATATTGACCAAATACTTATTTTCCACCATAATTTGCAAATAAATTCTTTCCAAATCAGCCAATGTGATTGTCTGGATTTTTTTTCTCATTTTGTCTCTCATAGTTGAGGTCTACCTATGATGCCAATTACAGGCCTCTCTCATCTTTTTAAGTGGGAGAACTTGCACAATTGGTGGCTGACTAAATACCTTTTTTGCCTTACTGTATATTGGCTACATCTTTTTCTGTAAGTATTTTTATTGCACCATTTTGACCTTTTTAGTAATAAATCCTATTTCCTGAAAAGTGTTGAACTGTTTCTAAAGCTCTTTAATGCAAACTAAGAATCCCTGTCTCTGAAGAGCGCTACTGTGTGTTTTGAACTTCTCCATACATCTGCCTACGGTGACAGTGTGTATACAGACGCTTATTCAAACATCACAGTGTTACTGCTAAGATTGTTACGCATGTGACAGCGCAGTTTTAGATTGGCTAGTCCTTCGGTCACAAGTTGGTGAGAAGGGCTGGGGGTCTGACACCACGCCCGTCACAGTCTCCACCTGCAAACCCATTCCTGTTTTGGGCGGTTGCCTCATTGTTGCCCATCTAAACACCAAAGCAGCTGAAACTGATTAACAACCCCCTCTGCTACTTAACCGATCAGATCAATATCCCGGGGGTTTAATTGACTTGATGTTATACTCTGCTTAAAAAGTGTTACTTTAATTTTTTTGAGATATATATATATATATATATATATATATATATATACACACACACACACATACATTCTTATACACATACAGTGTGTGAAAACATATAAAACATGCACCTAAAATCAAGTGCACCTACTTCATATACATGTGAATAACTGAATGGCAGATCATTAAAGGAACAAATCCTAAAGCTGTATTTTTTTATTATTTAACTTTAGTTTAAATTATGTTTAATGATTTGCCAATCGGTTATTCACTTTTACATAAAGAAAGTGTACTTGATTTTGGGCGATGGTTTTTTTTAAGTGTTTGGTTACATATACATGAGAGTGAATTTATTATTTGAGCTATACCTTTCTAGGTAGACAGCACAGACGTTTAATATGAACATTTATACAACAAAACATGAAAATGGATTAGGTAAACTGTGCCATCACAGGGGAATAGTAGAGTGGAGAAGAATACTTACCTTAGTATGAGGTCCAAATTCTTCACTTAGCTTTTTTAGTGGGTTGTCATACTCCAGTAACATTTGTCCCAGCCGTGCATATGAAGGTTCACTGCAGAGAAAGTATTTCCAAAACTCATTAGTAGTTTTAATGGATCGTCTTGGTACAGCATGTGTGCTGTGTGGCAGAGCTATTTAAATCTCAGGAAAATGTAGACAGTAAAAGAAATCCTCTGGCACATAAAACAGCTCCCTTATATGTATTTCACCTGTGCTTTTAGCTGTTTGCCTGGTGTTTAATTTTAAAAGAGTAGTATAGCCAAAGGTTTTTTCTCTCTTGTGGGTTGCAGGAGTGCACTCTGGCTCTCCTGTGACTCAGAGTCAGTTTATAGTGGGCATCCCCAGGCTCTGGAAGGATCCTGACAATATTGTTGGGATCCACCCAGCTGCCTGATTGACAGCTGATTCTGGCTCTCAGCATGCAGCTGACAGCTGAAGCCACCTGTACCTGCCCCATCTCCAGCCCAATGCTTAGGTGAGACCTGGAGGAGCAGAGTGGAGAGCAGTGACTGACAGACTGAGAACTGAGCAATCAATAGTCATGTGATCGCTCAGTTCTTGGGCTTAGAGCAGATGTGGGAAAGCTGTAGCATCACACCTACTCTGCAGCATTTATGTATTTTTATTTTTTTCATAAACTGATAATTTTACTGATAAATAAGAGCAGTTTGGTTTCCCTTCTCCAATAAAAACAGAAAAATCCACTGTCCTTGGCAAAAAGGTTCTCAAGCTTTTTGGAAAATGTCTTTGTGTGATTAGCTTTGCTTCTAAAGATCAGAATTAGCACAATTCAACACAGTACAGCTGTCATAAGCAGTTTGAAACATTCTGTGGCATTTGTTGGCCATCATTTCAATAGAAATTTCAATAGACAGCACAGAAAACAGACAAATTATTTCCTTTAATCAAACCTTGAAGTGGTACAGGGCAGCAGTTGTGGGAGTGTGGTACTGTACTGGAATGCTATTCCTAACACCAGTGTTTCTCAACCTTTTTTCAATCAAGGCACCCTTTAAGATTATGGACAGTCCCGTGGCACCCTTTAAAATTATGGTCAATCTTGAGGCACCCCATTTTAGAATGGGGTGCCTCAAGACTGTCCATAATTTTAAAGGGTGCCTCGTGACTATCCATAATTTTAAAAAGGCACCCCATTCTAAAATGTGAAAACCTATTCTAATAGTTTTATATAACGCAGCAACGTCCACACATGTAGGACACCCAACGTTAGGCGATTTATTCTTCCAGAGCAAACACACTTTTGCACACTGGTACTGACTAGTATTCCAATATTTCTCTTCCCCCTCAGTATTTCCCCATCACTGAGCTAATGTGATCCCAGCACTGATGGAGAGGGGCAGGGGAGGGTCAAACTAGGATGCTGTGCATGCAGCTGACATCCTCATTATCAGCTGATGATGCCATTGGTTGTCAGGACACTGATGGCTAGAAGGTCCTAAATGGTGTGCAATGAAAATTTGCGACTTTGTGTAACTAAAAAGTAGGCTTTTTCCACCTGCTGGCCTGTATACAAGTTTTGGGCAATTTTTAGACATTTTGCCAAGGCACCCCTGAAGAAGCCTCAAGGCACCCCAGGGTGCCTGGGCAACCTGGTTGAGAAAAGCTGCTTCACATTAACTACCTAGTGGCAAATAATAATTAAAAATTAAACTCTCAGGCTGCAGGCTAGGTTTACTGAAAATAAGCCACTGTCAGCTGTATTTATGGAAAAGTCATTTTGCTCTTTTTAAAAGTTACACTTTTAAATTCAATAAAATAAATGAAAATGACAAGAAATAAAAGAAAATGACACGAAATATGTTTTTATCAAGATTGACAGTTGCTGAATTTTTAAATCTCAATCAACATGCCATCAATTTTGGATGTTATGTGCCCATGTATTTTCCATAACAGTATACAGTTACCATCTGGCTTTAAAATATCTGCCTATGGTGACCCTGACACTAACTTCCGTCAGGAAACTATTCCAATCTTTGCTTTGTAAGAGAATTATGGCTCCTGTCAGATGTTGAGTTCTCTGCTGGTGCTTTCCATTATGATTATTTCACTACAGAACACCTGAGCTGGCAGGAGGGACCCGGATACAACTGGAACCATTGGATATCAACAGTGGTCATACTGTAGCTCTGCAAGGTAGTGAAGATTAGAGTCGCCAGCCACTGGACAGTTAAAGTGGAACTAAACCCTCCTATTTATTACAGCCAAGAAGCTGCCTATCTTAGCCTCTGCTTGAACTGTAGTTGCCTGTGGTCAGTTATGGCACCAGTTTGTTGATGGTTTGACAGTTCGCAAAGGGCAGAAGCAACTGTGACAGCATTGTTCAAGGTATACCTTGAACGTAACAGTTTTTAGGAAATTGAAGGGTTTAGTTCTGCTCCAAGTATACTTCTTTTTCAGACTGTACTTAGTTTTAATCTATTAGTGACAGGTTCATTTAAAGCAGATATTTATATCCAAACTGTCGTGTAAAAATGCATGGGCACATCACATACAATCCAAAATTGATGGCATTTGACTGAGATGTAAATATTGAGCAACTGTCATTCTTGATTTTAAAAAACTAAAATCTTTACTTTGCTTAAAATTGTATTAAACCCAAAAATGTATCACAGCAGCTTACCAATTATTAGATTTGGTGGCTGCAATTGCCTCCCTTTTTTCCTTTATTTTCACCTGATGATCCTGTCAGTAAAGTCTGTAATTGTTCAACATCTTTAACAGAACAAGCTGTCCAACAAAAGTGACAGTTAGAGAGTTAAAAATATTTAACACTGACAGGGGTGCTTACAATGGCCAGTTTTTATGCATTTATTTAAAGCCTATACCCCAAAAGGCAAAAAAATGGTTGCTGTAATTGCTTAAAAAGTGGTAGCTGGATTCATCTTAATTTTTTTTAGTCAAGTTTATCTAAATTTGTTGGTGCATCTAGCACAGATTGACAATGCTGCTTCCCAAAGGTGGCTCTGTTGTCCCTCCATCAAGAGTGGAGACGCCCTCAGATAGTAAATGTGTTATTGGCCATATCACCATGTGAAATTAGATAGAAAAAGCCTAAAAAAGAAAAGTACACAGCCATCACATTTTAGGATTGGTAAGCTTGTTTTTGGGTTTAATACTGCCTTAACTAAATTGCTGTCACAGTTCCCTTCACCCGAATCTCTTCCTTGAGTGGAGACTGGTGATTCCGTGCTACAGTTTGTCCCCACCACCAACTAGTCCCCTCCACGTGACCCATCTCCTCTTTAATGAAAAAGATAGGAAACTCAGGACCCGTTGCTTCAAGTGACCATGGGGTTAGATAAGTAAAAGGGGGCTTTTAGGTAGCTCTTTTTTGAACCTAGTAATTAGTTGGAGGAGGAGGTAAATGGTAGTGAGGAAAAGTACATTCCTCAAGAATAGGCCCAAAGACTGGAAGTCCGAGAGTCCCAAAATGTAGGGTGCCTAATTATGCAAACACTCACACCAGTTCACAATTTATGTCTCTTTTCCTCCGATCCTTAAACCACTAACAAACACTATTAGAGAAAGTAAATCTCAGTATGTTACTACTTATTTCACTGGCTTACTGAAGCCCAAGAAACATCATATGAAAATTAACACCTATTTAGTGCCTGTCATTAAATGCTTATTTATGAAAGTATTCCTTTATAAAAAATAAAAAGTCTAATATTTTTTTGAATTGACACATCTGTTATTTTAAGGTATCTGGTGAGAAGACAGAAGGAATGTTCCAGTGTATGTCTAAGTATATTTCTGCCTCTTCCTAATTCATGTTTTATGTTTAGTCTATGTGCTGTGTGTTACCTACCTCTGACCCTGCAGCATCTCAGAGGCGCAGTTGTAAAGAGCAACAAGTAACTTTCGATCATCAATCCTTGAGATCAGCATGATGACAGAGAAGTATGTCACTATTAGGTCCAGGTAGCTCTTCGTGAAGTTGTAATTTATATTCTGCAAGTTTGTCACACAGGAAATAATGTTATTTACCAATTGTAATCTTGTCTCTAAAGATGGTCATACACTAGGAGATTTTTGAACAAACGTGCAAGTATTTGTACTAAAATTCTCAATACATTCCATGGCTTAATGAATGTCATTCAAATGTACTTAAAAATTTTGTTTGCATGTAACATTTGAGTTTGAAAAGAATGGAGTTTCCCATTTTTGTGGCCAGGAGATTACATCACAAGATATATTTGCTCACTTTTTTCGCTATACTTTACCCCTGACGAAGCTCTACTTTTGAGCGAAACATGCAGGGTATATTATTTATGGTTCTTTTCTTTACAGGACTGTTTTTTGGGAGCACATGGTCACTTTTTCCCTGAATATTTTTGTGGGGCAAGGAGGGTTGCAAAGTGTTCGCAATATATGATGATCCCATTAGCCAGCCAGGAATTTTTTGGTGGATATGGTGATGTGTGGGGCCTGTCCATTAGTGGTGTAAGTTATTGCCACGTGGATGGGTGTACCCGTACAACATATCTGTAGCAAGAGAAGTAGTTATGTTGACACTATTGAGGAAGATATAAACATTATAGAAGAGTTGGGATGTGTTTTACTTATGTATATAAAAAAATGCAGCGCTAGAAAAAAGTGATAATAAAACACAGTCCAGTGAAAAAAGGTGCTCCGTATATCCTAGTGCAAGTGGTAAGGATTTACACTAACCAGATAGCGTAAATATATACGCATGTGTATATATATCTTGTAGAGTCCCCTTCTCCCATCAGATCTGGTCAAGTGAGTAGCCGGAAAAGGTAGATATCCTACGCCCTCTTGTGGTAAAAGAGTGGTCCAGCAGATCAGAACGATATCAATCAGAGTAAGCCTTCCCCTTTCACAGGAGTTGATAAGGAAATCCCTTGGGGCTGTAAAAGTTGAGGAAGCTCCTCACAGGGGACACAGGGAGACACTCATAGTGTAGTAGGTAAGGCTTTATTATGAAAACATGAGTGCACAGTAAACATAGGGTATAGGCAGGTATGGATGAACACACTGACCCCTTGGTATTAAAGATGGCCGCAGCCATCTTTAATACCAAGGGGTCAGTGTGTTCATCCATACCTGCCTATACCCTATGTTTACTGTGCACTCATGTTTCATAATAAAGCCTTACCTACTACACTATGAGTGTCTCCCTGTGTCCCCTGTGAGGAGCTTCCTCAACTTTTACAGCCCCAAGGGATTTCCTTATCAACTCCTGTGAAAGGGGAAGGCTTACTCTGATTGATATCGTTCTGATCTGCTGGACCACTCTTTTACCACAAGAGGGCGTAGGATATCTACCTTTTCCGGCTACTCACTTGACCAGATCTGATGGGAGAAGGGGACTCTACAAGATATATATACACATGCGTATATATTTACGCTATCTGGTTAGTGTAAATCCTTACCACTTGCACTAGGATATACGGAGCACCTTTTTTCACTGGACTGTGTTTTATTATCACTTTTTTCTAGCGCTGCATTTTTTTATATATATGAATTGTGGGACTTTATATGCGTTTTCCTGTATGTTCAGCTGCTGCCACTATTGATGAGCGCTTACTGTATATTTTATTTTATATCTGTTTTACTTATGACATCAACAGTTCTACTCCTTTTTCCTCTGAGATAAGATAACCAAGGAACATGGTATTTATACATTACAAGCTATTTCTGTGTTATTTATATGTATGTGTTGACGCAAACTAATATTGTTATCACTTATGGAAATAGGGATTGCATGTGCTGTGATATAAATAGGTGCTCCTCCTTGCTCTATGGGTTCTTAATAATGGCAGGTCTAAACATACCAATTATATAAAAGTCCTCAATAAAAGTTGTAATATAGTATAGCGGGCTTTTTGGTGCATAGGGACACAAAGCCTCGTATAGTTTATCATTTGATTGCCCCTGTAGGATCTCTATATAGACAATAAGGCATTTCTTGGTTGTATATTTCCCAAATGAAAACCACATTCACTGTTAGAAATTTGTTAATTCAAGAGAAATATTTTAGAGTGCTCCGTTTAATTTTCTTGCCACCATGGTTGAAAACAAACATTGATCTGACCACACTAATGATTAGAAAATCAAACAAACAATCTTAGAATTAAACATTTCTAACCAATTTCTACAAGTGTATGGCCAGCTTATAGACAACATTAAAAATACAAAAACTGCTGTCCAGTCATAAAGGTAAAACACTTTTTCAAGCAGTTACAATTACCACTGCCCACCTGAGAAGTCTTCTTTTACCAGTGGCCAGGGATCTGTCACCAGCCACAGTCTAATATGACTATTTGAATGCAAGTGTACAGTCCAAACGCACACGTTCCTGCGTTAAAAATGGCTGTGTGTTTAAGTGGGTGCTGCAGCGACCGTCAGCTGGAACAGAATAGAATCAGCAAGGGAGAATGTCACCAGCACACAAGGATCACCAATATGGGTCCAAAAGTTTTAATAAACGATCACATAGTTACAGCAATGCAACGTTTCGGAGTCTTGCAGGATCCCTTCATCAGGCATGTGACATCACCTATATTGGTGCTCCTTGGTGCTCCTCGGTGTGCTGCTGACATTCTCCCTATATGACTGAGTCTCTCATTCTTTGAGATTGGAATAATTTCTCAACCTTGCCCACTAAAACACAGACATACCTCTAATATCCATCATAAGATTACCTACAATTATTAGAGTGAGAACTTACCTAAGTATGGCAGGCCATACATGATTCATATTTTTTTTTTTCAACCAGCGGCTTTACCCAGACCCTGTCACTTTTGTCTGAATGACCAAAGTGACATTGTTTCTTTAAATCTTTATTTGTTAGAGTTAAAACTTTTTTTGAATCTCCTTGTCTGACCCAGCCTTGGGCAGACTGGAGTGTTTAAGACACAAGTTATATATATAAAGTGTGAACAAAGGCTTGAGATCACCAGGAAAATAATATGGGAAAGGATATATGTGCTGCCTAGGCTATGGCGGTTCCAAAAGTCATTTTTGATCTTTTTTAATTGGCTTCTTTCATTGAAGTGATGCCTGGTGATCCTGCCATGAAGGTCCCTTTTTCGGCACTCTGAATTGTACTACTGCTTTTTACAGATGTGCAATGGAAACTACTTACTCTTTGCCTCTTCTCTAGTAGAGGACAGTTGGTAATGATGCAGAGAGAGGTGCTGACATATTTACATCAACACCTTTCCCTGCCCTATTCAATGACAGTACAGGGCTCTTTGTTGGCATCCCCTCAAGGGCAGTCCGGTGATACCTTGAACCAAGAGGAAGAAAGTTGAATGATGCCAGTGAGGTGAATATTGCAGAGCTGAAATTTTTTTAACTAGCTGGGGGCCCATATTGTAACATAAAAAGTGATCCCAGAGTTGGGGTATACTGTAATCTAAAATCTCTGTAATCCTCTGCAGCAAGAATACAGGGAGCACCTAACAGGATCACTGTAAAAATACTTACAGAAAGAACCACTAGGAAAATTCCACAATCTGTAAAATTCCCAGGTTAGGCATGAATCTGATTAGTAGTTGTGAGAAGCATCCTACAATTCACCTCAGGGTAGCCTTCTTATTTCTCTCATGACAAGTGCACTTTAATGTAAGCACTACTTTTATAATTCAAATTATGTGCTCAATAAACGGACACCATTTTTCTTTACACATAATGTCCCTTTTATACAGTTGAGAGAACAGCTGCACTAAAGCTTTGACATGATCAAAACTGGAGCCTTTGGCGGGTCAATGTATTGCTGTGTACCATGCAAAGCAAAACTGTTTATAGAACTGGATTGTTATCAACTTGTGTATACTTGCACGTAAGACACCACATATACTGATGTGTGTAAAAAAACTTGAACTTACAATGTCAAAGTAACACTGGCAGGCATCAATAGTATTCAGCAATTCATAGACATGATCCTGCAGGGACAAGAAGTCCTGTTATAAATACCAACAAACAATGAAAGTACATTAAATAGGTACAATTAGGAAGCTGCCAGTTTACTGGAACCTGCATTTTGGTGGCTATTGAGTAATAATGTTGTAAGAATGCTAGTTAGAAACAGCTTTTCTTCCCTGCTTCTGAAGTGACGGTACAATAAAAACAAAATTGCTGCAAAAGAAATGTTTATAGTCTGTGCAATAATTTTAGTATTAAACTCCAGTCAAATATAAAATATACAAATTTACTTTTCAAAATGTACATGAATTTGACTTGGAACAAGCCTCTTGAAGTCTCTGTATAGTAGAGTTCGGAGTACAAGAGGGAGAGATGGCTCTAGGAGCCAGTCAACTGTTCTGCAGTGCTCATGCGGTAACAAGGGACATGCTGACAGGAGGAAAGAGCAAAGTGACAGTAAAATGAGCTTATCAGTCTGGTACTTCTTAACCTGTAAACGTAACCTAATTGCATCAGAGAAAAATCAGGTATTTGAGATGTGGTAGAAAATGCATGGATAGCAATACAAACCTTTTGGCAGCTAAAAGAGTTCCATAATGTTTATTTCATTAGTGTATTTAGCTACCTGCATGGAGTTTGGCTTTACTGCTACTACTACTACTACTACTACTATTACTACTACTACTACTACTACTACTACTACTACTAATCTGTAGTCTAAAACTGTGCACTTGATTAACCACTTGCCCTCCAGAGGATTTACCCCCGTTCCTGACCTGGCCATTTTTTGCCATGCGGCGCTACATTACTTTAACTGAAAATTGCGTGGTCATACAACGCTGCACCCAAATGAAATTTGTCCCTTTTTCCCACAAATAGAGCTTTCTTTCAGTGGTATTTGATCGCCTATGTATTTTTTATATTTTGCGCTATAAACAAATTAACAATTTTGAGAAAAAAAAAAATATTTTTGACTTTTTGCTATTAAACATGTCCAGTAAAAAAATTAAAAAAATAAAATTTTGTCATAAATTTAGGCCAAAATGTATTCTGCTATATCTTTGCTAAAAAATAAATCTCAATACATGTAAATCAATTGGTTTACGTGAAAGTTATAGCGTCTACAATTGGCGGTATATATACTGGAATTTTTTTTTCTTTATACTAGTAATGGCGGCGACCAGTGACTTATGGCAGGACTGCGGGACATCAGCGGGCATTCTGACACTGGGAGGGAACTGACTAACTGTCACTAACATCCCAATGACACTAATACAGTGATCAGTGCTAATAAACAGCACTGACACCGTACTAATGCCACTGGGCAGGAAGGGGTTAACATCTGGGGTGATCAAAGGGTTAACTGTGTGCTGTTTTACTGTGTGCTGTGTGTGTCTTTCACTGTGTCAGGAGCTGACAGAGGAGAGATCTGTATTGTTTACATAAAAGTCTCTCCCCCATCAGTGATACTCAGCGATTGCCGGGTGCCGGCGGGGAATCACCAGCCGGGACAAGGTGATCTACAGCTGAGGCCGCCAATGGCAGCGTAGTATTTCTTCTATAAGGTGGCGGGAAAGCAATTAAAAACAAACATAAAATAAATAAATATTACATATCAGTCACTACTTACTCTGAATTCCATGACATCCACAAAGGTCAGGTAATAGCCAGTCAGATATTTCACAATCTCCACTTTATCTTTGTGCACTGGACCCAGATGTTGCTGGATTCAAAAGTGAAAAAATAGTCTTTTTAGGTTAACATTGATTATGTGTATCATATCCCAATTTACTAATGTGCAAGTTATTCTCTTCACATGTTTACTACGTTCTACCAGGTAGATGTTAATGCCTCTGCCCACTTTGGGCAAAATGTCTTTGGCCTTGCTGCCGTGTTGCCCACCCCTCATATTCAGTGTTTGGGATGTCCTAAGTAGTCATATATACACTATACTGCCAAAAGTATTGGGACACCCCTCAAAATCATTGGATTCAAGTGTTCCATTACCTCCATGGCCACAGGTGTATAAAATCAAGGACCTAGGCATGCAGACTGCTTCTACAAACATTTGTGAAAGAATGGGTCGCTCTTAGGAGCTCAGTGAAATCAAGCATGGTACCATGATAGATTGCCACCTGTGGAATAAGTCCATCTGTGACATTTCCTTGCTACTAAATATTCCACAGTCAACTGTTAGTGGTATTATAATAAAGTAGAAGCAACTGGGAACAACGGCAACTCAGCTATGAAGCGGTAGGCCACAAAAAATGACAGAGCAGGGTCAGCGTATGCTGAAGTGCACAGTGCGCAGAAGTCGTCAACTGCCTGCAATAGCTAAAGACCTCCAAACTTCATGTGGCCTTCAGATTAGTACAGTGTGTAGAGAGCTTCATGAAATGGGTTTCCATGGCCTAGCCGCTGTATTCAAGCCTTACATCACTAAGTGCAATGCTAAGCATCGGATGCAGTGGCGTAAAGCACGCTGCCACTCGACTCTAGAGCAGTGGAGACAGTGGAGATGTATTCTCTGGAGTGACAAATCAGGCTTCTCTGTCTGGTAATTCGATGGACGTGTCTGGGTTTGGTGGTTGCCAGGAGAAGAGTACTTGCCTGACTGCATTGTGCCAAATGTAAATTTTGGTGGAGGGGGGATTATGGTGTGGGGTTGTTTTTCAGGAGTTGGGCTTGGCCCCTTAGTTCCAGTGAAGGAACTCTTAAGCCATCAGCATACCAAGACATTTTGAACAATTTCATGCTTCCAATTTTGAGAACAGTTTAGGGATGGCCACTTCCTGTTCCAACATGACTGCGCACCAATGCACAAAGCAAGGTCCATAAAGACATGGATAAGTGAGTTTAGGGTGGAGGAACTTGACTGGCCTGAACAGAGTCCTTACCTAAACTGAACAGAACACCTTTGGGATGAAGTAGAGTGAAGACTGTGAGCCAACATCAGTGCCTAACCTCACAAATGCACTTCTGGAAGAATGGTCAAACATTCCCATAGACACACTCCTAAAGCTTGTGGACAGCCTTCCCAGAAGAGTACAGGTTTTATAGCTTTTATAGCTGCAAAGAGTGGGCCAACTCATTATTGAACTCTATGGACTAAGAGTGGGATGCCATTAAAGTTCATGTGCGTTTAAAGGCAGGTGTCCCATTACTTTTGTCAATACATATATATATATATATATATATATATACACACACACACAAATGTTTTGATTTTCATTCTATTTTAAACTAATTGGGTTGTTTTACAAGGTGAAGGTTCACATATACTTTAGTGTGATTAACCAGTTGTTTTAGGACTGCATGTCCCAGTATGGCCTCCAAATCTTTAGATTTGCAGTTCAACAACAGGCTGAAATGTAATGGTAGCCTACATCCTGCTATCTTCCCTATATGCCTGTTGCATGGGCTCCTAATAATGCAATAGCTACACCAGGTATACACAAAGTAATTGTTGGCATTATATAAGGTAATAATTGTGTTGACACACTCCTAAACCTTGTAGACAGCCTTCCCAGAAGAGTTGAAGCTGTTGTAGGTGCAAAGAGTGGGCCAACTCAATACTGAAACCTACGGAATAAGACTGGGTTGCCATTAAAATTCATGTGCGTATAATGGCAGGCGTCCCAATACTTTTGGCAATATAATGTATGTGATGTCTCCTGTATCCTGTTATGTACAATTAAGAAATTAGGATTTTTGGTTTACCCTCCACTTGGAGTACATAACAGGACATTAAGATTCCTCCCCTATTGCTTGTATTCCTCTTTGCTTTCTACAAAACTGAAACTAAACTAATTTCAGAGGGGTTATACCAGGGTGGGGGATCCTGCCTTTTTGGTCATTGCCCATTCACCTAAAGGGGTCAAATAACACCAAGTAGTCATGTGTCCTCCCTGTCCTGTGATATACTCCAAGAAAAGGATTTTACAGGTAAACCAAATATCCTAATATTTCAATCTATATAAAGCAACAAAAAATAGCAAATAGAGTCTGGTGTGTGTTTTCCTAACTCACATACAACATTCTACCTCTTCTGACATTTACAAAAGTGGTCTCCAAATTGGTCTTTTGCTTGCCTTTATCTGGCCCTTGGGGCATTATTCCACCAACTGACATCAATGATGGTACACTATTCCTCCCACTGACACCATCGATGGCACTATTCTTCACATTGATACCAACAATGAGGCCTTCTTCAACCCTTTAAAACCAATGATGGGGCATTGTTTATGCCCACTGTTGCTAGGGCATTTTTTACTCCCACTGGCCACAGTCCGGTCCCCCTAAAGCCTTAAGGACAGTAAACTGGCTCTTTACTTAGAAAGTTTGGAGACCCTTGATTTACATTACTGAAAGTAGCCCCTAAATATGTGTAAATATTTTCAAACTATTTAATAACATTATGCATAATTAGATAGAAATACCCAATTTGTTTTATATAAGCTTTGTAATTTATCATTTCTGAACATAATAAGCTAGCAGGCAAATATCCCCTGTCCATGGCAAATTTTTAAAATGAGGGTCTCATCTTTCCTTCTAGATTTTTTACTAGTGATTTCTGGAGAACACTTACATTACATACTAATGGCACCTCTATGCAAAGGCCTTAATGAATAATGATACTTTTAAATTAATATGTGAAGGTAGAACTATGGGAACTGTATTAAAGAAACAAGCTGTGGGGTTTTCTGATCTTTGTTTTACTACCAAATAAGTTCTTGACCTACAGTAGAACAGGCATGCAAACATTAACTCCAGTCCTGCATGCTTGTTTGCATGCTTGTTCCCAGTTAATACAGACCTGGAGCCTAACCATTTAAAGAGACCCTGTCACCTTTTCCACTCAGCCCATCTCCAACCACCTTATATTTTCAACTTATACCTCTCCAGTTCTCTGCTGCTGTAACTTTCTATTTCACAGTGGTCATCAAAATGCCCTATGCATCTTAGGACTAGGTGACTTTCTCCCTCCGCAGCAGCAAACCATTGAAGAAGTAGTGGTGAGGGTGCACTAGATTGGTGAGTATAGGGTGGTCAGGGAGGGGGCTTTATACAGACATTGTAGTGTGCCTGCAATGCATAAAGTATTGGGGATCTTTTAAAACACTTGCCAGCAGAATTACCAAGAAATTTCCAGCCTTACCAGCAGTTCTCTTGGTTTTCATTTATATGCTTTTCCAATGAGTTTGTACACAGTCAGATTGTCATATACTATTTGATGGCAAATATTTGGCTGGCATGGCAATTTGTGTACATGAATAAGTAACTTAACAAGCAACTGTTTTATAATTTAGGAAACCAAATGCCACATCTGGATAAAATTATGTTTCACAAAATATCTGTATGTGATAAAATTCAAAAAAGGGCTGCGGTCTACTGAAGGCAAGAGGCAACATTTGAATTCTAGACGAGTTCTGGTTTAGAGGCTTTTTAAGCATTTACCGTACTGCTGCGGACATCGATATTTGGAAACTTCTTGTTGATGTATTTCAGAGATGACTCCATTGACTTGTCTGTGAAGAAGGGGGGTTTTGTTTTGGCATCTGAGCATGTCTGTAAAAAATAGAAAATACATTTACTGTAGTTATAATTCAATTATTTTGTAGAGCTAATTGGTAAACAATTGTTATTTTTCATTAAAACTCGGGTAGTTTAATGAGACAGCTAATTAAAGAATATGTTAACCCAACATTTCATATTCCTGATATGTGCCTGTTGCACCTTGTACTTGTATGAACAAGTTTCTGTTTTCTTTGTGCGATATACCTGATGTTCCTGCCAGTCCCTCTGCTTTCCTATTAAAAAACTGATGACACCAGGCATGGGAGCATAGCATAGTCAGTTCTCTAGCTGTGCTGAGAACTCAGCCCACTCTCCTCCATTGGTTAGACTTGTACCCCCAAAACACACACACACACAAACATGCACACAGCCATTCACTGGAAAGTTTAGTGTACTGCTGCTTCTCCTCCCCCTGCTCTCTAGGTATATTATTATTATACAGTATTTATAAAGCGCCAATAGTTCACTCAGCGCTGTACATTACAAAGGGGGACAGAACATGTGACAGAACAATACCAATACAATGCAAAACATGAGGGGATTGAGGGCCCTGCTCTTTCGCGCTTACAATATGCAGCTGAAAACAAAGGGTATATGATAACTTATAAAAAAAGGATAAAAACAAAGTATTTAGAAAGATATATTATATATATATATATATATATATATATATATATATATATATATATATAAACACTATATTGCAAAAAGTATTTGCACACCCTTCCAAATCATTGGATTCAGGTGTTCCAATCACCTCCATGGTCACAGGTATATAAAATCAAGCACCTAGGCATGTAGACTGCTTCTACAAACATTGTGAAGAATGGGTCGCTCTCAGGAGTGCAGTGAATTCAAGCGTGGTACCAAGATAGGTTGCTACCTGTGCAATAAGTCCATCCGTGAAATCTCCTTGCTACTAAATTTTCCACGGTCAGCAGCATTATAACAAAGTGGAAGCAACTGGGAACAGCAACTCAGCCACAAAGCAGTAGGCCATGTAAAATGATAGAGAGGGGTCAGCCCATGCTGAAGCACAGAATGTGCAGATGTCGCCAACTGTTTGCAGTGGCAATAGCTAAAGACCTCCAAAGTTCATGTGACCTTCAGATTAGCACAACAACGGTGCGTAGAGAGCTTCATGGAATGGGTTTCCATGGCTGAGCAGCTGCATCCAAGCCTTACATCACCAAGTACAATGCAAAGTCTCAGATGCAGTGGTGTAAAGCACGCCACCGCTGGACTCTAGAGCAGTGGAGACGTGTCCTCTAGAGTGATGAATCACGCTTCTCTGTATGGCAATTTGATGGACCTAATAAAGCATGAAAGTGCAGCGCTACTTAAAACAATGATTACACAATGTTAGATCACATATAATTGTGGATCAGTAAAATGACTGCGTAAAGTTCATTAGATGTGCTAAATATGCATACAGTCTCCAACGTGTAAGGAGCCAGAAATAGTGAATATCAGAAACGACAAAAAATAGCCAAGTAATGCACTAACCAGATAGCGCATGTTAAAGCGCATGGGACATTTAAGACCTGTCCCTGGTACTCAGCCACTGTATCACTGGAACAAGAAGGTGTCATCTATAGGGTGACCACTAGATGTCATCTGTCCGGATGGAAGCTGTATCCAGCCACTGTATTAATGGATCAGGCGGGTGTCATCTATAGAGTGACCACTAGATGTCATCGGTTCCAAGAGGAGCTGTATCACTGATCCAGGGATGTCACTTGCAGATGTGTTCTTGCTAGGCACAGCCCCAGGACCTTCTGGATTACAGGCTCCCCAGAAATAAAGAGCCCGTGGAAAAAGGCCTCAAATAGTGTGATAACGTTTATTAAGGTCAATAAGCAATCAAAAAAGAACTTACTAACAAAGGTTCAGCTGCTCATAAACGGCCAGACCGGAGGTACATGTACACAGGATAAACATAGCTTGGCACTTCCCTAAGGCGTATCGTGTAAGTACACATGATGTGTAAGTACACATCATGTGTACTTACACGATACGCGTTAGGGAAGTGCCAAGCTATGTTTATCCTGTGTACATGTACCTCCGGTCTGGCCGTTTATGAGCAGCTGAACCTTTGTTAGTAAGTTCTTTTTTGATTGCTTATTGACCTTAATAAACGTTATCACACTATTTGAGGCCTTTTTCCACGGGCTCTTTATTTCTGGGGAGCCTGTAATCCAGAAGGTCCTGGGGCTGTGCCTAGCAAGAACACATCTGCAAGTGACATCCCTGGATCAGTGATACAGCTCCTCTTGGAACCGATGACATCTAGTGGTCACTCTATAGATGACACCCGCCTGATCCATTAATACAGTGGCTGGATACAGCTTCCATCCGGACAGATGACATCTAGTGGTCACCCTATAGATGACATCTCCTGGCTCCAGTGATACAGTGGCTGAGTACCAGGGACAGGTCTTAAATGTCCCATGCGCTTTAACATGCGCTATCTGGTTAGTGCATTACTTGGCTATTTTTTGTCGTTTCTGATATTCACTATTTCTGGCTCCTTACACGTTGGAGACTGTATGCATATTTAGCACATCTAATGAACTTTACGCAGTCATTTTACTGATCCACAATTATATGTGATCTAACATAGTGTAATCATTGTTTTAAGTAGCGCTGCACTTTCATGCTTTATTTTTTACTCTGGAGGTTCACGAGGTACCTTTTGTGCCAGCAGCTACCCTACCTACATCCATACTTTGCGCTCGATTTTATATATTCTCATATATAAGTTTATTTTAATTTGATGGACCTGTCTGGGTTGGGCGGTCCTTACTTGACTGCGTTGTGCCAAGGGTAAAGTTTGGTGGAAGGGGGATTATAGTGTGAGGTTGTTTTTCAGAGGTTGGGCTTGGCCCCTTAGTTCCAGTGAAGGGAACTCTTAAGATGTCAGCATACCAAGACATTTTGGAGAATTTCATGCTTCCAACTTTGTGGGAACAGTTTAGGGATGGCCCCTACCTGTTCCAGCATGACAGCACCAGTGCACAAAGGTCCATAAAGACATGGATGAGCGAGTTTGGAGTAGAGGAACTTGACTGGCCCAAAGGGCCTGGTATGGATGGGGGGGAGCCCCACACTGTTTTTTTCATCATTTGTAATTGCTGCCATGTTTTTTTTACAAATCAGCTGTCAGTGGGACACCCGCTGACAGCTGAAGAGTCATCCCTTGTTAAGGACAAGGCGGATGGCTTCCTTAACAACCAACTACCATGTGATAAATTTCTGCATGAAAATATGCTGTAATTACTGCAATAACGATATTTTACCGCATGAGTTATTTACCACAAAATTCTTAGTGAACTGTACTTTTGCAAAAAATTTACGGCATGCATTATTTTACAGCATTTTTTCAGTCGTTATTTAACTCTTAGTGAATTGACCCTATAGTTACTGAACTACATGGTGCAGGGTGGGGTGATGGCATGTGTAAGCAATGGGATAGGGATTGGGGTAGTAAATGGGAGAGAAAAGGAAGAGTAAGGCGGAAACAAAAAGGAAAAAGGGTAAGAAAGACTAAAGGAAGAAGAGACAACATAAATAAATAACTGGTAGGGAGAGGGGTGAGTAGAAGGTTGAAATTTGTACATAATGTATAATCCAAGGATCCCAGATTTTCCAGTTGTTAGATGCTTCCCTAAAACCCCTGTCCACAACTAATCAACCTATTGACACACGTTACATTGAAGTTTATGGAGACTGGGGGGGATGCAGCGGATGACTAAGATTTCAAACCGACACTGTGTGGCTCTGAGCTGGAACATCCCTGGAAAAGTCTGTTTCTGGTAAATATAAATACTACATAACTCTGATGCATACATTTTCCATAGTATTAAAGTGATTGTAAACACTTAAATTTTTTAAAATTAAAATTACAAACATGTTACATTTACCTACTCTGTGCAATGGTTTCTCACAGAGCAGCCCTGATCCTTTTCTTCTTGGGTCCAGCCCCCCCCACCGAGTGCCCCCCTTAGCCAGCCAATTGCTACGGGGGCACTTGTGTGTGCTCGCTCCTGAGCCCCGCTCTGTGTGTCCATTGACCCCAGTCACTGGCTGTGACTGACAGCAGTGGGGGCCAATGGCACGTGATCAGGCTCAGGTATGTATTAGAGGGGCTGTGGGGGACACTGCACACTGAGGTTTTTTACCTTCATGCATGAATGTCATATACACATACATGTACGTCATCTGGCCTGCCTACGCCAATGGCTCCTGCTGCTGTGTCTGAGCCAATGAGGAGGCACAGAGCCGAGAGAGCTGGTGTTCTTGTGCACACCACTGGATCAAGATTGGGCTCAGGTAAGTATAAGAGGGTGGGGTGCTCCATGCAGAAGTTTTTTTACCTTAATACAGAGAATTAATTAAGGTAAAAAAATATTCTGCCTTTAGAACCACTTTAAATGGAGAGTGCAGTGTATGTGCTCAGGCTTGTCAGAGAAGATTTTGACAAGGAGCTGTGTGGAGTCAACAAGGTCACACAGCTGAGATCCCTCTGAAAAAAAACATGCAAGGACTCCGTTGGATGTAAAAAACATAGCAGCTAGCATGATACCATAACACATAGTATAATAAACATCACAAAACAACAGTGCAGCGCTAAATTAAATTAAAATATATGTGCAATACAATAGTGCAGTGAAAATATATCAAACTATTATGTGTCACCACAAATTGAAAAAATAAAGGAATCCAAATGTGAAGCCAAAAATTGTGAATTCAGTGGTTCTTCTATTATGAGGGAAATGACAAATGTGGATGTGAAACGCCACCAAAACTTCTTAATGATGAACCAGACAGCACCTCAGTGTACAACAATGGGAGGCTTACCAGAATTATATGACCCCCAATTAAGAGTCCTCCTGTATTAGTTTGCTTAATATAAATGTTAAAACTATAGAAAGTAAAATTACATTTCCCTAATTTCTATGGTTAATGTCAAACCAATGAGAGAAAGGTGT